AATGAGACTCAAATCACAATTTGTCAAAAAAACACAGGCTGCCCTACGGTAGGTTGTTATTAGCTGTCTTCCAGTCCAGGAGACATCATGTGACTTAAATATGTTATTTCTGTGTTAGGGTGCTGTCGAGTCAGTTCCGATTCATAGCGACCCTACCTACAACTGAATAAAATACTGTCCACTCATTCGCCATCCTCATAATCCTTGCTATGTTTGAGCCCACTGTTGCAGCTATTTCATCAATCTAGTTGGAGTCTTCCTCTTCATAGCTGACCCTCCACTCTACCAAGCGCGATGTCCTCCTCCAGGGACTGATCCTTCCTGATAACATTTCCAAAGTATGTGAGATGAAGTCTTGCCCTCCTTGCTTCTAAGGAGCATTCTGGCTATATTTCTTATAAGAAAGATTTGTTCATTTTTCTGGAAGTACACGGTATATTCAATACTCTTTGTCAACATAATTCAGAAGCTTCATTTCTTCTTCAGTCTTCGTTATTCATTATCCAGCTTTCGAATACATATCAGGTGATTGAAAATACCATGGCTTGGGTCCGGCATACCTTAGTCCTCAAAGTGATATCTTTGTTTTTTTTTTAACACTTTAAAGGGGTCTTTTGCAGCAGATTTGCCCAATGCAGTGTGTAGTTTGATTTCTTGACTGCTGCTTCATGAGCATTGATTGTGGATCCAAGTAAAATTAAATCCTTCACAATTTCAATCCTTTCTCCATTTATCATGATGTTGCTTATTGGTCCAGTTGCGAGGATTTTTGTTTTCTTTATATTGAGGTGTAATGCATCCTGAAGCCTGTAGTCTTTGATCTTCATCAGTAAGCACTTCAAATCCTCTTTACTTTCAGCAAGCAAGGTTGTGTCATCTGCATATCGCAGGTTTTCAATGGGTGTTCCTCCAATTTTGATGGCGCATTCCTCTTCATATACTGCAGTTTCTCAGATTATTTGCTCAGCACAGAGATTGAATAAGTATGGTGAGAGGATACAACCCTGATATACACCTTTCCTGACTTTAAACCACACTGTATCCCTGTCATGAATTGAATTGTGTCCCCAAAAAATATGTGTATCAATTTGGCTAGGTTATGATTCCCAGTATTTTGTGATTGTTTGCCATTTCGTCATCTGATGTGATTTTCCTATGCGTGGTAAATCCTACCTCTATGATGTTAATCAGGTGAGCCAGGCGGCAGTTATACTAATGAGGCAGGACTCAATCTACAAGATTGGTTTGTGTGTGGAACCAGTCTCTTCTGAGATATAAAAGACAGAAGCGATCAGAGAGACAGGGCGACGTCATACCACCAAGAAAGCAGTGCCAGGAACAGAGCGCATAGTTTGGACCCAAGGTTCCCGCACAGAGAAGCTTCTAGTGCAGGGGAAGACTGATGACAAGGACCTTCCTGCACAGCCAACAAAGAAAGCCTACTAAACTGTGAGAGAATAACCCTCTGTCTGTTAAAACCATCCAATTGTGGTATTTCTGTTATAGCAGCACTATATGACTAAGACAATCCCCTCGGTCTCTTCAAATGACTGCCTCTTGGTCTATGTACAGGTTCCTCACGAGCACAATTAAGTGTTCTGAATTCTCATTCTTTGCAATGTTATCCATTGTTTCTGAACCACACAGTAGAATACCTTTGCATTGTCAATAAAACACAGGGAAACATCTTTCTGGAATTCTCTACTTTCAGCCAAGATCCATCTGACATCAGCAATGATATCCCTAAGATATACAGGGACCTATATCACAAAGAATATCAGAAAGAGATTTGTAATCTGTAGTCACTGCCAACTACCCACCTGTCCATAGGCAAGGACAGAGGTCAGCAAGTACGGCCCCCCAGGAGTAGTAACCAAAAAGAGATTCACAAGATGAGCTCATCTGTGAGCAGACACAGAAATGCCTCAGAGACTGAGCATTAAATGGAAAGGTGGAGATGCAGAAGCGTGTGTGTAGCATGGTCCCGTGTGCAAAAATGGCTGTCGGTGTATGAATATGGAACTTTCGTAAAAATGTTCTGGAATCATCCACAAGAAACTGTCAGGAAGGTCTGTATCTCGGGAGGAGGGCTGGAGATTCAACACTTCCTGTATAGTCTGAATGTCAGAATGATCGTTCCTGTGTGCTTATTTTATCATTAAAAAGAGGATTGGAGGGGAAGGCCCTAGGGGGTGCAGAAGAGTGGATGCTGCCTCTCGGGGCTGAGGACACCGCGTCCTGCACCGGGAACATGTGTGTCAGGTGACTCAAATTTTTCGCTACACTTTGAATGACAGAGAAAGCACCACAAATATTAATTTGCGGTTACAAATAAATTTTATTAAGTCAGTGAATTCATGAACACAACACTCGTGAATAATTAGGATCAACTGTAAATTTTAACCATTTTCATCCCACAAAAAGAAATGTCACCGCTCTTCTTAACCATCATGCCCAGCTCTAGACAACCACGAATCTACTCTGTCTCTGGATTTGCGTATTCTGGTTATGTCCTATCAATGGATTCATACAATACGTGGTCTTCAGTGTCAGCTTTTTTGACATTTATCCATTTTGTTGCATGTATCAGAACATCTTTCCTTTTTATGGCTGAATAATATTCTATTGTATGAATGTACCACATTTTGTTTTTCCATTTATCTGTGAGTTGCTGGATATTTGGGTTTTTTCCACTTTGTAGCAACTGTGAGTAATGCTGCTGTGAGCATTTGTGTACATGTTTCTGTGTGGATATACATATATGTTTTATATACTTATGGTATGTATATTTCTACAATTACCATTTATATTTAACAAAATGAGGAAGACTTTCATGTGTGGATAGAGTGAAGCCTCCGAGATCTGCCACTGAAAAGCTGAACAAGGGCAGCGTTGCCCGAGCCCTTGTTGGGGAGGCTCCCCACACTGCCTGCAAGGACTCTGTCTCTGAGAGGCACACAGGAAACAGGGAACAGTGAGAAAAGTTTCCAATCTGGGGAAGGGGGCTGGGAGGTGGGGCTATGACCAGAGGCACACTCTTTTGTGTTTCACCTTGAAGTTTACATGAATGTTGTACCAGGATCGTGAGTCATTGGGATGGTTAAGGCTGTGTGTCAACTTGGCTGGGCCATGATTCTCAGTGTTTTGGCAGTTGTATGATGTTGTGATCACTTCCCTGCTGAGATTTGATATGTGATCTCCCCCGTGATGAGATCTGCTGTAAGTAGCCAATTAGTTAAAAGGGAGTTTCCTTAGGCGTGTGACCTGCAGCGAATATAAGCAGACATTCTGGCAAGGCTTGGGAGATTTTTGATCATACTGGATCCTGCAGTTGGCTCCTGTTCATCTGACATCCAATTCTTGGAACTTGAGCTAACAGCTTACCTGTGGTCTTGCTGCCGATCTTGGGTTTCGCCAATCTTCACAGTCTGTGAGCAACAGACTTGCTCTCCAGCCTGTCGATCTTGGGTTCAGTAGCCCCTGCAGGTACGTGAATCAGGAGAAGCCTCCAGCCTGACCTATGGGTTTGGGACGTTCCAGCCTCTACAATCATCTGAGCCATTTCCTTGAGAGAAATCTCTCTCTCTCTACACTTTACTGGTTTTACTTCTCTAGAGAACCCAGCCTAAGACAGTCATTAAATCAAAAAATCGTTTTTTTAAATAACGATGGAGACAGAGACAGACAGACAGAGATCCAGAGACTCAAAGAGAGAGAAGGGGCTCTTTGCTTCCTGGGCAAGTAGTTCTGCCCTACCCTTACCCTGCTTCTCCTCAGCACCCCCAGTTCTCTTCTCCCCACTCACACCTTTTCCCCAGCTCCCAGAACACTTTCTCTCTAACCCCCACCGTCTTTCTTCCAATACTTCATCCCCTTTCTTCACCTCTCACCCTCCTCCCACCTACCCCCTCCCTCTCTGCCTGCCCCCATCCACTTCTCTCCACCCATTCAGAGAGCACAGATGTAGGAAGAATGGGGTATTTGCACCCTCCTGTAGACAAGCCTGGAAGGAGAGGTGGGTGGCTGGGGTGCGGCCACCAGCAGCTGTGAGGTCTATTGATGGGCGCCCGGCTGGGAACAAGGTCACAGCACAGAGGTCATGGTGAGTGAATGGGTCAGTGCTGCTGAGGAGTGGTGAGTGGACAAGGTCTGAGCTGCTACCTCCTGCCGTCATTGAGAGGAGGGGGGCTCAGAGTGTTGCCCCTGATAGCTCAGGCTGAGCAAGGTGAAGCTGTGATATGTGAGTTGCCCACGAAATTCTACAAGGCGGGGGTGTGTCGTCAGCCCTGCAATTCCAGATGGGGAACCAAGGCTCACAGTGAGTACTGGTTCAGAGCCCTCCCTCAAGAACCTTGTGCCCTTTTGTCCCTTCCATATCTGCTCCTGGGCTCAGCCTCTGAGCCTCATGCTGCATCCTCTTTTTACTAGAACCTTCTTCCCTTCAGGTTTCAGCTAACTTGTCCATTCTCCAGGAAGCACTCCCTGCATCCCCACTTCCATTTGTTCTGGAATCTTCTGCTTACGTGTCTGTCTTTCCCCTAGCTGAAAGCAGGGCCCTGTCATCCTGCTCCCACTGTACCACTACCAAATGGACAGAACACAAGGAATGAATGAGTGAATGGGTAAGTGGTAGATGGAAGGACGGATGAATGGGTGGGTGGCTAGCTGGATGAAGGTGTGGGAGGGCAGAGGGACAGATGGATGCATGAGTAGATGGCAACCTGAGTGGCCTGCCCTCCCTCAGCAGGGTGACTAGGATGGCAGGGCTGTCCTGGTTCTCAGCGATAGCTGAGAGCATCATGTCTTCTCAGGAGGCACAAGATCAGCCTGCAACAGTAACTCACAAGATAGTGTCCACATGCACTCAAGGCATGGTCTTTGTACTGAATATGAAGAAATTTCCCCAACTTTATCTCCACTCACTCATGTGAGTAACGAGATGTTCTACAGCATAAGGCATACTGGTCCCCAACCTTGGGGTACCTGGAAGGATTCGAGACATGGGCCACTTGCCCGAGTCTGCCTTTCCAGAGGTACCTGTGTCTCACTGCCTAGGAGGTAGTGTTCCTGGTCACTTCTGAGTGGCTGCTCCAAACTTGGCCAATGGCCCCACTCCAATGGCACCTGCACCTGCCCTCCAGGCACCAAGGAAGCATTGGGAACCTCTCTTTCCTCCATCTCAACAAGAGACAGGGCCTGACTAAGTAAAGATAAAACAGTTAAAAATTACCCAGGGACTGCGGTGTCCAAGGCCAGGCAACTCCATGCCCACATGTTGGCCAGCAAGCCACTCGTAGAGCCCACTGGGCCTGGGCCTGGACAGGAGAGCAGGATATGGCAGGACATGGCCACAAGTGGGCAGCAGCCACAGGCCCAGGGTAGGTGGTCAGTAAGTGGGCTGAAGGAGATACAGGGACCAGCTCCTCATGGGGTGCTTACGGGCACCTCCCATGGGGCGTGGGGTCTGAAGACAATGGGCAATTCAGAGAGTCCGGACACCCCTCTGTCTAGGACCTCGCTCTCAACACCTAGTGGCTGGTCAGGACCCTCTGAGTGTCTGCTCCTCTTAGTCTCCAGGCTATGTCTCAGACAAGCCCCTAAACACATAGTGATCCCAGTTCCCAAATCCTTTTGCACATTGTCTCTTGCACCTGAAGTGCCCACGATGGGCACCAGTCTCACTCTTACTGTGGCCAGCCCCGTGGAGAGGGCCCACCGTGCTCCACCTTTGTGCCGGGTCACTGACCCCGCTGCCAGGCTTGTTGTGGGGAGGGTCTGGCAAGCATGTCTTGGGCCTCTGTCACAAAGGCACAGGGGCTGTAAAGAGGAGGGCATCACCCCAACCACGGGGCCTTGGGATCCAGACCAGAATTTGCAGATGAGAAGACACTGATGCCAGTAGAGACAGAGGCTGGCCAGCTGAGGTGGCGGGTTCTGCCCAGCTGCAGGGGAGGAAGCACTCGGCCATGCCCAAGTCCACCTCGATGTTTTGCCTATACTTACACGTGCCCAGAAAGTGCAGGACACATAGGGGCCTGCTCTCCAAGAGGGGCTTGTACCTTTCCCCCGGGGCTCTTCTTCACTAAAGGGAAGTGTTCCTTAGGATATGCATATGTTAACCTAGTTTTTCTTTTTTTCGTTTTTAAGCGTCCCATATAATCGGCATGCTGGTGAAGCACAGCCCAATTTAGGGATGTTATTTACAACCAACTTCACATATTTCTATTATCTGTTTTCAATGGTAGAACAGCTTTTTAATGACTTACAAATAATGGTTGAATCACATTATAGAAATATATATATTTTTATTTCTAAGTTCAGAAATTCTGTAATATCATATTATAAATGACTTATACATAAGTGTGTAACAGCATTACAAAAGCACCGTAAACAGCGTAAAACGCATTATAGAAACATACATAATAGTGACTTACACATAAGTGTTTTAAGAACATTACAGAATCAGGTGTGATTTAAGAACATGCAGAAAGTATCCGTAAGAGTTGCCCAGGCCCCAGGCTTCTTCCTTGGGTCTGCCCAGTGCCCCCGGGGTGCAAGAGGCCCTGGCGTCCACGTGGCAAATGCTGGGGAGATCCCGGAGGCCTGGCACAGCTCCATCCCCTGCGCTAAGAGCCGGAGTTGAGTGGGACGTGGCTGTCAGCAGAAACTGTAGTAGGAGCAAGGAGACAGTGAGGAGCCAGGTGAGGGGTGAACAATGGGCTGTGTGGTCTGTGTGCCAGAGGACATGTCCCCAGGGGATGACCAGTGTCTGAGAAGTGAAGGGAACTGTGGCAGGGACAGCTCCGAGCACAGTGCCTGGCCCACATGGAGCTCATGAAGGTCTTTTTTGGGATTGAAAGTAAATTCTAGCAGCATCTGACACACCCCTGCCTCTCTCAGATGGACTCTCGTGTTCCTCCAAGTGTCTGGGCACAAGGTGACAATAGGGCCACCTGGCTGCTGTGAGGACTGTGCTGTGAGCACGTGGTCAGCACTGTCTCCACTGTCCCCTGTGTTTCAGCCTGGGCCGAGGTGGGATGCAAAGCTCCTGACGCTGCTGAAGGAGAGTGGGGATACCTGCCCACCCCCCGCGGAGCTGGTGGACCTTGCGGGAAGGCTGTGCCAGGACTTCCGGGGTGACCTCGCCCAGGTGGAGCCCTTGGTGGAGGCCGTGCTGGGTAGCCCGCTCCGCCTGCACCTGCTGGACAGAGAGGACGTAGTTGTGGTGTGCGCCCTTGTCCTGGTCCGGCAGGAGCAGTACCAGGCAGCCTGCAGGCTCTTGGAGGTAGGGCGGGCCGGCGGGGGGCACAGAGCAGGAGCCCAGAAGTCAGCCAGAGTCCGCAGCCCCCAGGGAAACCTCTTCCCCACCTCCATTCACTCAGTTCTAGTTAACCTGGCGATCTGATGTAAAAATGTTCCTTTATCAGATGTGTTGTGAGCAGCAGCTGTGTGTCAGGCCCTCAGACAATTAATGAAAAGAGCGAGAGAGTCATACCCCACCATGTCATGTCTTGACAGTTAACATTCTCGTCAGTGGGACAAACGGGAAATCAGTTCCAGTGCTCTGATCCCTCATCAAAAACTGAAAACCCAGAGTATCTTTGAAGCTCATCTGGTGGCACATTGAGCCAGAGCTTATGTGGCAGCAAACCCTGACCTGTGTTGGTGCGAAGCTATTTATGGTCTTCCTTACCGACGAACTATGACTGTGGTGCGTTCTGCTTTATAAATAGGAGAGTGTCTGATTACAGGATGTGGCCCCAGATCATCCTGCAGCGGTGCATGACACACATCTCCCGTCACGTCCCTAAATTTTCAATTCCAAAATCTGTCTGGCCCAAAGACTTTTGAATAAGGGATTGTGGGCAGTCGAATCTACCAGCCGCTCTTTGGAAACCCTATTGGGGCACTTCTACTCTACCCACAAGGTCACTATTAGTTGGAATTGACGCTACGGCAGCGGATTTGGCTTGGTTTGTTTTTCACCTCATAGTACAGTCCATGCATAACTCATGTGGAGTCTACCTGCAGACCCCCCTCGATTCCATCCTGTTCTTTCTGGGCAGTGTCCTCCTGGCTGCTCCCCCCTACTATCTCCTGCCCCCTAAACTCTGTTCTTCGTGCAGCACCAGGAGGGGTTTTTACAACTACAGATGGGACCGTGACATGCGCCCGCTGCACAGCTCTGGCCCCTGCGGCCGCCCTGCCTGCCGTCCATCTTGTCTCCCCGGTTTCCTCTGCAGTGGCTGTGCTGGGTTCCTTTCTGTCCTCGATCTAGATATTTACCATCTCAGGACCTTGGCATGGACTCTTCCTTCTGCTGGGCTCTTTGTGTGCATGGTGCTCTCTGACCCTTCAGGCTTCTGCCAAGTGTCACCACAGCCTAGAGCCTTTCCCTATGACCCCATCAAGGCAGTCCCCGTTACTATCCAGTGTCCCCCGGCTAGCTGCCACAGCCTCTTCCCCATGTATTTGTGTGTCTGTGGATCACGTTTCCCCACTGCACTGAAGCCCCGTGAGGGAGGGGCTGCCCAGTCCTGTCCATCCCAGGGACCACTGGAACACAGCATAGCACCTGGGTTTGCAGGGGCTCGAGCTTTTCAGATACTTTGGTACAAATGAATGACGTAACATGGGAACACATCCTTAGAGCTGTCACTGGGGAGGTGATAGAGAGCTCCAGGAGAGGACCCACACACCTAGTCTTGGTCCGGGACCTCTGGGAGCTGGGCCCTGAGGGATGATCCTGAGCTGGCTGTGGTTCCCATGATGGTTCCCTGGTGCTCCAGCACGAGGCCAGTGACTGCATCCTGGTGGGAGAGGACACGGCAGACTGGCCTGCAAACTCATGTGCTGCAGACAGACGGCTGTGTGGGGCCTTCAGCATGAGGCCTGCCAGGATTCCAGGACTTTTCCGATGTGGGGAAAGAAGAACATTGGTTACATCAAGGCCCTGAGAACATTGGTCAGTATATTGAGTCAGAGAGCGGCCTCGTGTGGATGATGCGAGTTACATGAATGGCAATAGCCTCGCAGGAGAGGCAGTGACGTGGACCCGTGATCAGAAAGGTCCAGGTCAGCGCAGCAGGTCCTCTTGGTGTCGATGGGTTGGTGCGTGGCTGCTGACACAGATGGACCCCTCGTCCCACAGCAACTTGGCTGTGCTCACCTCCTGTGTACCCTGGGAGGGCTGCAGGGTCTCGGGTGGGAGGGCTGGCACCCTGAGTGACTGGCCACCCCTGGTCACACCACAGGGCTGGCAGGGATTTCCAGCCTGGCCATCTGACTCCAGGGTGCCCCGGTGAACAGTGAGAGTGAGACTGGAACCCAGGCCCCTGCTCTTCCACAGAAGCCTCAGCCTGTGCAGGGCTCGGGCTGGTCCGGGAGGGCGGTCCCAGGTGCCCCCAGCCCCAGGCAGCCACGGCTCAGCCAGGCTCTCCTCGGCAGGGTTGTCAGATGCCAGGGGGGAGCTTGGAGCTGGTGAAGCTCTGGAACGACATCCACTACCGTCTGGCCATGAGGAGGCTGGACGTGGCAATGCTGACCCCTGTGCAGAAGTTCTGCTGCAGGAAGAGGTATGTTTACTCACACAGGCCCTGTGGGGTGCCCCAGGGATCGAGGTGGGGGTCCAGACAACATAGAAGAGGGGAAATAGGGTGGCACCAGTCAGATGGAGCACAGCGGTGACCGTGGGCTGGTGTGAGCAAGCTATTCACGCCCCGCTGGGATGGGCTGGGAGGGGTCGGGCTTACCCCGAGTGGTGACCAGGGCTGGCCAGGTTGGGGACGTGATCCCTGTGCCTGCAGGGTGGGAGGGAGCACTCTCCAGGACCCAGAGGGAGGCTGGCTGCAGGGGGGCGAGGCTGAGCACCCTGACCTCACCCTCCTCTTCTGACCTCTTCCCAGGCCTCACCAGATGAGGGCCATGGGAGGGCCGCTCTAGGCCAGGCAGTCAGCGCAGGCTGTGAGCCCTGGAGGGAGGCCTCAGGTGGACAGGAGCTGCCCGGGCAGAGGGAGGGAGACGCAGAGTGTTCATCTGCTAATGGGGATGCTTCAGTAGAAGAAAAATTCATGGTGGAAGAAGGAATAAAGGCAGGAGATCATCCTCCAGTTGTGCCTGGCTGGGAACCAGCATTCCAGATGGAGCCTAGACTGAGCACCCAGCACACCAGAGTCTCAGTGACAGTCTTTGTCCCAGGAGTCCCGGAAGGGCCAGGAGGCCATATGGGAGGGCCTCAGGGACACACCTGGAGCCTGGGTGCTGTTGAGGTCTCCCGGTGCCACGCTGTGGCAGAGGTGCAGTCGGAGAGCACCAGGCAGGAGTGCTGGGACACGCCACCAGCCTGGGGACACACCTGGAGCGTGGGTGCTGTCCTGGGGGCCACGCTATGGGAGAGGGGTGGTCAGATAGCCTCCGGCTCTTCCCTGCTCCTGCCCATGGGGCTGGGGAACCTCTGAGCTCCCCGCAGTCGGGAGTGCCTTCTGTGTCTTCATCACTGTGGGGAGAGAAGAGCTTGTCTTCTTCCCCAAACGGAGGACAGAGAGGCTCTACCATAGGTCACTTCCTCGGAGGACAGGGCCCTGGTTAGAGGCAAATTTGAGGGTCTTGTTCTGACATCTCCTGCTGTCCTCGTCCAGGAACCCACCACCCCCCTCCCTCTGTCCCGAGGGCCTGAGGAGCCAGAACTTCCCCAGGGAGGTTTGACAGAAGCTGCAGGACTTCGCCTCAGGCGTGAGCACCAACCCCGACAAGGCCCAGCGGGTAAGAGGAAGTCGGCCCCACCTGCAGCCCCTCAGAAATCCTGACTGGCCCCCCACCTGCCAGGGTGAGGGTGGACTGGGCTCTTCTTGAGCTCGCCTGGGACGGAGGGTCTTGCTGGCCCACAAGGTAGGCCCTGCAGTGTGGGGCTGGCTTCTCAATGGGGCCCCACCCTCACCATGTGGCTACCGTGGGAGGACATAATCCGTTCTCCCTCAGGGGCTGCATCCCCCAGCAACTGGCCAGAGCAAGCGCTCAGCAGATACTCCTCAGCCAGGACCCATGCCCGGGTCCTGGAGGGATCCGGGCCAACTCGGGGCCCTTTCTCAGTGGAGATGATGGTTAGGGCTGCCTCTGTGCCTCTTGGTGTGAAAGCAAGCCCGGGGTTCTGTTGTCTCCTGCAGGAGACCCTGTCATCAGAGACGAGCCTGTCAGAGGAGCAGGTCTACAACTGGTTTGCCAACTAGCGTCGGAAACAAAGAGCTCTTCTTCAGCGCGTAGTGTCGGCTCAGGGGACTTCAGCAGAGGGCCCTGGTGCCTGGGGGAGGGGTCCAGAGCCCTCTCATCCCTCAGGGGACCCCCACGCTGACCCTCAGTGTGTGGACAGGTCTCAGTGGTCAGGTGAGTGGTCCGAGGGCCCAGCCTCCTGTGGTTTGGGGCGATGCTGGTCCCCTACTTGGCCCTTACTCCCCGCTGTGTCCAGGGTCACTCTGGTCAGGCAGGGCTGCCCCTCAGGAGGGATGGGGTTCACCTAGTGGTGAGAGCTAACAGTCAGGCTGTAGGTGGGACAGTTTTCATCAGGGAGAGAGGTTGCTGAGGCTGATGCTGGGCACAGGCTGGGCTTGGGTTCATCTATGGCGCCGGGCCTCACCACAGGGTTGTAGCCACCATTGTTCACTGAGAGCTTACTGTGTGCCAGGGGAGGAGTTGGCTGGTGACATATCATGTGGCTGGAAGGAGGGGGTTGGTGAATAAATCCAGGGAGGCAACAAAGCACCAGCGTTTGGGCTGTCCTGTGTTCTGTGGAATGCTGGTTCAGACCAAAGAAGGACCGAGAGACAAAGGACATTGGGGTTAACTCTTACCTTCTGGGAAGCACAGCTAGAGCCTGAGGGAAAGAGGCCATGGACTCAGGGCTCCACCAAGCCTCCCCAATCTGACTGAGCTCTGCTCTCATCAGGACATGAGGAAAAGGGGCCTCCACGGTCCCCAGAGCCCACTCAAGGACAATGGGCACCACTGGCCCCTGCCCCGGACCTTCCTGGAGACGAGATGCTCTCAAGGCCACTGGTTCCCAGGTACTGAGACCCCATGGCTACCCGACCAGCTCGTCTGTCCGGCCTCCTCGTCTTCCCCAGGGATAGGAGACATGGCCGCCTGACACTAGGGCCCAGGGCAGTGACAGCTGAGAGCAGAGATAGCCATGGTCCTAGGGGTCAAGATGTGGCACAAGCAAGGGATCACATCAGGAATAGCTGGAGCAGCATCCCCGACCCTCAGTGTGCTCCCTGGAGCCGGACTTCCTCTGTAGCACAGACAGTGGGGGAAACAGCCTCAGAGAGAAGGAACAACCTTGCCTGCCTACCTCTGAAATACAACCCCATGGTCACTGTGGTCTGTTCTAGTATTTTGTCTTTTTAAAAAATGTCATTGAGAAAAAAATACTAACCTCCAACATTTTGTGGGTCCCTCCTACGTGCTGTTCTAAGCAGTTTCCTTGAGCCCTGAGATGGTCCTGTGACGAGGCAGTCCTGGGATAAGAAGGAAGGGGCTGTGCTCTCAGGGCTGAACCCCACAGGGCTGGGGCCAGGCCTGAGTCCCGGCCTAACCAGGATGCCACGTGCACCTCTGTTTCTCCTTTTCCACTGAACATTTTGACAACTACTGCCTGGTTGGCACCCAGGCCAACATCAGACAGGTGTGTGACCTTGGGCAGGTTCTCATGGCCTTTCAGTGCTCAATTTTCTCACCTGTTCAATGGGGATGATGAGAAGACCTGCCGTGTGGAGTTGTTGCAAAGAATATGTGGATTTAACAACAAGCCCTGTGTTGTGTCTGAGACACTGCGAGCATTCAAGGAACATGAATTCTTTAAGTTATTATTATTCATCACTGCATGATATTCCCTTAAGATCAGCCATCTTTTATTTACTGGGGTATTAGACGCTTGCTCATCAGGTTCCATTTTCAATACTGTGGAACAATGCTTCATTGCAGGTCGTGGTCAATAAAACTGCTAATATATTGAAGATTTCCAGAGATAGCATTTATTAAGTGCCTCACTGGGCTGGCAAGTCAGAGCCTGGCCTCTGGTCCTTGCATCCACCATGTGTCAGAGGAGAACACGGACCACAGTGTGATTTGTGATGTGCTGGGGCCCCATGGTCATCGGTGCCTGGGGTGAGATGTGACCCAGATTCGCAGACTTGCTGGAGTCTCTTCCCAGGTTCTGGCCGAGGGAGCCTCTACCCACTGAGGGACAGTGTTTGCTGTGTCCACAGGTCCCTAAAGGGTGGCGAGATGCACCAGGAGGGGCCTGGCCAAGACCCTGCCACCTTCACCGCCGTCTGCCCTGGCCCTGGCTTCTGCCCTCTGGCTGCCGGCAGCAACATGGTGGACCTGTCCCTTGCTGCCCCAGGGTTGTGGCTGATGTCACTTGCACTGGCATCCTCCAGGGAAGCCTCTTTACAGCCTGGGCAGCTGGTCCACAGCCAGGATCTGGGCTTCAGGATGCCCTGGTCAGACGCTGCCATGACAGGTGAGTCTGCTCAAGATAGAGCCAGTGGTTCCTGCACCTGACGCTGGTACTGACCTAATCTTGTTTGAAGGACAGCACTGTTGGCAAGGGAGCCATGGTGGCGCAGTGGTTAAGCATTCAGCTGCTAACCAAAAGGTCAGGAGTTTGAATCCACCAGCTCCTCCTTGGAATCCCTGTGGAACAGTTATATTCTGTCCTACGGAGTCGCTGTGAATCGGAGTCGACTTGACTGAAACAGGTTTGTTTTGTTTTGGGATTGGCAAGTTAGCACTTAAACCTTACTTCTTCTACCCGAGAACATCTTCAAGGTTCTCCAGGGAAGAGAAAATAAGAGGAAAGCAAAGGTACCCTCATATACCAAATAGTGATGAAGGTCCCATCTGTCCAAGAAGATCCTGGATAGGGGGCCCCCAGGGTTCAGGAGGTCACTCTGGTGGTGAACATGGACGGAGTTGAGCCGACCTGTTGTTCTGTGACTGAGATCAGGAGCACCTTCTACTAGTTTTACAACCTAGTAGACTCAGGGAGGAAATGGACATAGATTCTCACCTTACTTCTCTCCTAAGTTTCTGTTGACCCAGCTCTGGTCAAATCCATGGTAGCTTGTCTGTAGGAGTGAAAGATATTTTGAGATATCCTCTGCAACGTTTTAAGTAGAGAAAAAGTCAAAAGGGCAAGATAAGGTGGTGACACCTTACATGTAAGGGAAATCTTAGTACAACCCAAGGTAAAAGGTCAGCGAAAAAGGAAAAGGGCTGGGATTCAGTCTTTTGATGCACCAGCTAGGAAAGAAAACAATGATTGTATGGATTGCACATTTCTCACAGATTAGCGGGAAGGAGATTGTGGCAGAGTGCCATGTGTGATCACTGGGACTGGGGCCTGGTAGGAGTTCACACCTGTGACAAAGCAGAATGTGAAGTCTGCAACATTCACCCTTGTTTTGGTCTGCTGAAGCAAAGAATGACAGAGTTGGGAAAGGCCGTGGAGATCACTGGTTGTGTGCATTTCTTTCTCAGAGAGAGACACTGAGGCCCAAACAGACAGATAGCCTGGCTCACGCAGCTTGCGACCGGCAGGGCATGTGTTGCCTCCTATCTAACATGGGCCCTGCTCCTTCCTCCTGGAAGTGAGTTGTGGAATTTCTTTCCTACAGGATTCACTGACACACCCAGCGGGACCCCGCAGAGCAAGTATCTGGAGGAAGGTCCAGGTACGAGCGGTGGACACATGGAGCTATAGCCCTCGCTGCTGTCTGCGGAATACATCTTTCCCCAAAGGTAGGCCCTGCAGAGCCCTAAGGCTTGGGCGACGCTTTCCATGGGCCACAAAGTAGTGGAATGAGGGTCCCACAACACTAGTGCCCGACTTGTTGAATCACCCACCTCAGACTGTGAAGACTAGATCTTTCTTTAGGGTTTTCTAAAAATGAGAGCAATCCTCCCAGGCTGCTTCCACCAAAAGAGGGTGGTTTTCCCTCAAAGAGAAGAACGCTCGGAAATGTCAGAGCGGACCTGGACACCTTCCTCTGGCCAGTGTTTCTGATGCTCAATGACTGGGCAAAGCTCAGGGCTCATTTCTTCGCCAAGGTCACCCTAGGTCCCAGCAGCCTCTTCCTGGTACTTTCTTTTCCCCAGACAAAGGGCTATTGTGGTTTCTGAATAGCAGCAAGATCCTGATTTTATATTCCAAACTGTAGTTTTAAAGGGGCTTGGAAGGGCCTGGAACAGCCTGGGAGAGAATTTGCTGTTGATGCAGTGAATGCTGTAGACTGTTGGAAATGGAGGGAAAGTAACCGAGCCTCAAGGGGTAAGACTATATCCAGGAGTGGAATTTCTGGGTCATATGGTAGTTCTGTGTTCAACTTTTTGAGGAACAGCCACCTGTTTTCTATAGCTGCTATACCATTTTGCATTCCCACCAGCAGTGTAAAGGGTTCCAGTTTCTCCACATACTTGTCAACACTTGTTTTCTGGGTTTTTGTTTGTTTGTTTCTTTTTTATTTTTTCAATCTTAGCCAGCCTAGTGGTGTGGGAAGTGGTTTTGATTTGCATCTCCCTAATAGCCTTGGTTGAGCAGTGGTTGAAGAGTTCAGCTGCTAACCAAAAGGACGGCAGTTTGAATCCACCAGTCACTCCTTGGAAAACCCTTGGGGCAGTTCTACTCTGTCCTAAACTGTTGCTGTGAGTTGGAATCGACTCAACAGCAATGGGTTTGGTTTTTTTCATTTAATCGCTAAGAGTCCCTGAGTGTCACAAATGATTAAGTGCTCAAGTACTAACTGAAAGGTTAGCAATTCAAACCCACCCAGAGACATCTTGGAAAAAAGGCCTAGCGATTTGTTTCTGAAAGGTCACAGCCTCGAAAACCCTATGGAGTACAGTCTACTCTGTAACTCGTGGGTCATCTTGAGTTGAAATTGAATCAGTGGCAACGGGTAATGCCTAATGATGTTGAGCATCTTTCATGTGCTTGTTGGCCATTTGTATTTCTTCTTTGGTGAAATCCTTTGCCCTTGTTCTACTCAAATTCTTTATCCATTCTTTGACTGGGTAGTTTGTCTTTTTGTTGTTAAGTTGTAGGAGTTCTTTATACAGTATGTTCAGGATATTAAACCCTCATTCAATATGTGGTTCCTGAAAAATTTCCCCAGTTTATAGGCTGTCTCTTCACTTTCTTGTTAAAGTCCTTTGTTGAACAAAAGTTTTGGATTTTGATGGAGTCCAAGTTATTTATTTTGCCTTATGTCTAATGTTTTTGGTGTCATATTTAAGAATGCATTGTTAAAAAATAGGTCCTGAAGCAATACCCCTGTGTATTCTTCTGGGAGTTTTATGGTTTTATGGTTTATGGTCCTTGATCTATTTAGAGTTAATTTTCATGTATGCTGTGAGATATGAGTCCAGCTTTATTCTTTTGTATATGGAAATCCAGTTGTCCCAGCACCATTTATCAAAGAGGCTATTCTTTCCCCGTGGCATGGATTTAGCACCCTTGTCAAAATCAGTTGACCATACATGTATGGGTTTATTTCTGGACTCTCAATTCTATTCCATTGGTGCGTGTGTCTATTATTATAGCAGTACCAGACTGTTTTGATTCCTATGGCTTTAACAGTATGTTTTGGAATCAGGAAGTGTGAGTCTTCCTGCTTCATCCTTCTTTGAGACTGCTTTGGCTATTCTGGTCCCCTGGCAATTCCATGTAAATTTGAGGACTTTTTTTCCCATTTCTGCAAAGAAAGCTTATGTAATTTACACCATGATTACACTGAATCTGTAGATTGCTTTGGGTAATGTTGACATCTTAACAATATTAATTAAGTTTTCCAGTCCATCAATTTCCGTTTACTTCCAAAAACCAAAAGCAAACCTGCTGCCTTCTAATCGATTCTGACTCATAGCTACCCTGTAGGACAGAGTAGAACTTCCCCATGGGGTTCCAAGCAATAGCTCGCGGATTTGAACTGCTTTTAATCTCTTTCAGCAGTGTTTTATAATTTTGATTGTAAAAGTCTTCTACATCCCCGGTTACATTTATTTCTAGGTATTTTGTTCTTTCAGATGCTGTCGTAAATGGGATTGTCTTAATTTCCTTTTCAGAATATTCATTGTTGGTGTATTGAAACCCAACTGATTATTATGTATGTTTAGCTTTAAAAGAAACTGCCAACTGTTGTCCAGAGTGGTTGCCATTGTTCCATTGCCTGTTTTCCCTCATCCTCACCCTGATCTGGTTGTGACTTTGGCTTCTCGTCTTCTTTCACATCCCAGGCCTACTCCTTGCTCAGGATCGCCCCTGCCCTGACATTTCTGCTCAAAGGAGGCCTGCCTTGAAATCCTGTCTAAAATTGTCTGTGGGAGCCCACTCTGCTCTATGTTATACCACTCGTCCCCTCCTAGCATCTTCCACACCATTGTCTGCCTCTCTCCGCCAAAAAGGAGTGACTGAGCACAGGAAGTTTTGTTCTTGATGAATATCAAAAGACTAGAATGGTTCCTGATATGTAGAAAGCACTCAATGTGTTGCCGACTGAGCGGCTACTATTCCTTAACATTCCCGGGCACTTGAGACAGAGCCTGTCCTGACAACCAGTCCCCCTTTTCCAGGCCCCAAGATCCGGCGCAAGCCACGTCCTCCTTCCCCTATCCTGTGTTCGCCATGGAGCTGAGCCAGCCCCAGCCCTCCAGCCAGGTGAGACCTTCCTAAAGGCACCTTTGTTCTCCTGCTGTCTCCCCTATCCCCAGTGCATGGCACAGAGGACAGGCTCAGCTAATGCCTTTGGAGTGAATCAGCCAGGCAAAGACGAGAGAGGTGGAAGAGCGGGCTTGTGGTTGGAAGTTGGCAAAATGGGAGCTGTGAGGAGAGGTGGATATGGAGTGCCATGGGGAGATGTTTACTACTCCAGAGCCTGGAGTCCCAGAACGGGGTGGTGTCCATGCAGGGTCAGAAAATTCTCAGGGTGGTAAAGGCAGAGCCCTGAAGCCTGATGGCGGAGTGTTTAATGTTGTGTTTCTTTTCCCAGGTGCAGTGGCCTGATGGCCAGGCCACCAGTGATACCTTCTGGGGAACGCAGATGCTGTTTGAGTTTTCAGGGGGAAGCTTGGGCTGAGGTGTCTCTTGGGAGATCGCCAGCACCCCAGGAGGAGCAGACTTGGATTGTCTGGCCGTTCAAGGCTACAAGTTGTAGAGCTTTATCCCCTAATACAAAAAGGAATTCCCAGAGTCCCTTGGTGGCAGGTGGGGGCGGGGGCCCTCCCTTGAGAAACGTTGAGGACTTCTTGTCCACGGCTAATGTTTAAATAGTTTGATATTGGAGGCAGTATTTGAAAATGTTCATGAGATAAGAAGTTAAAGGAAGGTTTGTTCCCACTCAGGCAGTGACAAACCAGAGATTCCAGGTCCTGGGTCAACTTCTGTGCAGTTCTGGCCTTCCCAGAGAGAGAAGAATGTTCTAGTGCTAGCCATCTTCCCACCCGTCCCGTGGCATAAGGTAAAACTCCTCCACCTAGTTCTCTTTGTTGTTGGCAGCATTTTGACTTCTCTGTGTTCACGAGGGCTTCTCCCTTGAAGACTAGGAGGTAAACCAGTTGGTGATGGCCCCAGAAGGTTGAATCCATTGTGTTTGCAGTAAAAATGTTCAATTCCATTGAATTAAAGTTTTAATGCTTTAAACTCTCTTTTTTCACTTAATTATATATCCTGGCCATATTTCCATGTGACGGCACAGAGACCTTTAATCCCTGGACAGCAGGTCATGACTTGGGTGTGCCCTGATCAATTGATATATCAATATCCTACACCCCATACTATTATGAGATGCTTCATGGAGTGGTCTTTGGTTGAGCCTCCAGAAAATTTTCCAAGTCCCTTTCTGACAGCCCAGACCAGCTACGGCCTGCAGGGAATGTCCAAAGGCTGGGTCACTGTTATCATTATTATTAGTAGTAGTAGTTGTGGTGGTGGTGGTGGTGATGCCATTGAATAAATTTTCTCAGTTCACAGAGACCTGGAGATAATGACAGGGGTCCCATGCACACCTACACACACCCGGAGCCCAGGCTTTTTCCTGCATTCCCACTGGGTTCCTCCTGTTCCTTGCATGAGGCTCTGGAGATGTTCCAAGTCCCCATGTGGAGGCTGAACTTGTCTGCGTTGACCTGAGTGTCTTGGGGAAGGTGTCCATGGCCTGCCAGGTCTGCCAGAGACCTTTTCTAAGTTCACTTGGGGGCCTGGCGATTGCCTGAACCTCTGGAAAACTTTTCTTAGTGCAGTGAGGTGTCTGGGAACCACTTGGACCAGCAGGGCAATGGGTCTGGGAATGAGATAGAAATAGTAGTGTCATAACATGTTTACCAAATTGGACCAAACTCTATAAGCCAGGTATTCATAGCAGAAGTAAAGAAATGGTCCTTTTTCTTTAAGTACAATTCACGAAGGGGAGATAATTCACACCTCAACCGAGTCAGTGGCTGCAATGTACCTAGACATGTAGTGAACAGAGATGAGTCAGAGATTAGAAGCTCTGATTCTGACTTTTTTCACTTATTATATCTTGTAAATCAATACAGATTAGTAAATATGGTAAACAGTTTCTTGATTCTCCTTTGTGTGAGGGAAATTTTGACACACTGATAGGTGTAGTTGTGGGGATTTCAGAACTAAAATTAGGCACTCCATTCTAAATTTTACTGAAATCTCACTTCTACACTCCTGATAAAAGTTAAGTTTCTGTTGAAGTTTACCATTTGAAAGACAAAGCTCAGTACTTATTATGTTAATAGTGTTCCAGCAGCTTGCCTTAGAAAAAGCCTCACTGAGTTGATCAATTAGAGCCTATAGATGAACATGTTGTTTCAACTACCTTCGAAGAATTTCCTCAGCAGACACATAGACGTTATCCCTTTTTCTCTCAGCGAAATAAGCAGAGTTTGCATTTCAAAAGACTTAGATTTGAAATGGATCTAATCTTTGTACTTTCCTAACGGTCAGTTCTGTATCCAAATATTCCAATTAAGTTGGCCCAGCTGCAAACATATCGCTAACCTTTCATGTTGAAATTGTTTACTTTTCATTTTAGAAATATTGCCTTAGTTAAATTATATCAAGAATGAGAGATCTGTGTGACTCTAGAAACCGATGTGAAGGTGGTTTGCAGTTAATTGCCTCCTTGTAAATCTTTCCTCCCCCTTTCAATTGCTTTGATGTGAGACAGTTGTCTGTACGCACTTGTTAAATATCTCGTTCTGTCTGCAAGGCCGAGCATACTGTTAGAGATGATCTGAATGCATTCTCTCCCGCGGATTCATTCCTTTAATAAAATGTTTGTTTAAATATCAAATTGGAGTGTTGGTCCAGTGACTCCACTAGGACACGTTATACAACGGGAAATTTTTCTATAGTGAATATAACGTATCCCTAGGAGTTCTTATTGAGATTATAGTGACTTTCCAATCCACTATAGGCTGATGATCTCCAAATTCTTAGAACCCAAAAAACTACTGTACTTCAAAGTTTTATCCACAGATTCCTCACACTTGGATGGCTCCAAACCTCTAAATCTAACATGTCCAGAAGAAATCTATCTTAGTCATCTAGTGCTGCTCTAACAGAAATACCGTGAGTGGATGGCTTTCACAAAGAAAAATTTATCTTCTCACAGTGTAGTAGGCTAGAAGTCATCCAAATTCAGGGAGTCAGCTCCAGAGGAAGGCTTTCTCTCTGTCGGCTCTGGAGGAAGGTCCTCATCATCATCAGTCTTCCTCCAGACTAGGAGCTTCTCTGTGCAGGAACCTCAGGTCCAAAGGACGCTCTCTGCTCCTGGTGCTTCTTTCTTGGTGGTATGAGATCCCCAACTTTCTGCTTGCTTTCCTTTCCTTTTATCTCTTGAGAGATAAAAGATGGTGCAGGCCACACCCCGGAGAAACTCCTTTTACACTGGATCAGCAGTGTGACAGGGGTAAGGGTGGTGTTACAATCCCACCTTTATCCTCTTTTAACATAAAATGACAATCAGAAAATGGAGGACAACCACATAATACTGGGAATCATGGTCCAGCCAAATTGATACACATATTTTTGGGGGAACATAATTCAATCCATGACAAAATCTTTTGGTAATTTTTTCAAGCTTCTTTCTTCGTGGTTTTCCACATGCTAGAGAAGGGCTCTGGTGATCATGCTCTCACCGTCGCATGAATTCTAGAAGTCACATTTGATTCTCCATTCTCCTCATCTCATATGTCTGATCCACCAGCAATTCTTGGCAGCTTAAGCTCCAAAGTGCACCTCAAGCTGGCCCACTTTTCCCACCTGCACTACCACCATTGTTCCTCACCCTGACCAGTCCTCTGTATTTGCTGTGCTCAAGTTATCCTGACGGCAGTCAGTTCCTGGCACATACAGTCTTTCTTGTTGCAAGACTGTCGCCACATTACAGAAAACCAAGTCTGTTCGAGATAAAATCAAAGATGTTTACTCCAAGAAAAGAATTACACTTAGAAGTGGGACCCGCACAGCTCATTGAGATGAGACAGTGATGTCCAAAGAGGCGGGTCTGAATCAGGGTTAGTTTTACTACTGCAGCAAGCATCAACCACAGGTTATTCATGACTGGTGTATCTCCAATTAGGGAAGTGGGAGATGGGATCCTGCTGAGGTGGGGTAAGTGTAGCTTATTGATTTAGAGGGTATAGCTGTAAGACACTGATCTGTTTTTAATTATTAATGGCTGAAATTAGAGATTACATATAGTTTCACAAGATGTTTAGTTAACGATCGCAGGATGCTTACATGTAGTTTCTTTGTCTATCTTGAAAAAATACCCGGCTGGCAACGGCACTCAGCACTCTTCCTGAGTATGTGTATTTTGAAGGGTGCAGATGGTCACTTAGTCAAGACGCCTCAGGGCATATGATTTCGCATCCTGGTTTTGACCACTGAGGAAAAACATGTTTTCCCCAAAAGCATAGCTGTTAGTCTAGAATCCAGATTAAAATCGGACAGCATGATAACCATATCATGCCTCTGTCTCACTGACTGCACTGAAAGTTTTCTTTTCCTGAGACAATTCCCTCTTTTTAAGCATTTGACTGCTAACCAAACAGTCGGCAGTTCAAATCTACCAGCCACTCCTTGGAAACACTATGGAGCACTTCTACCGTGTCCTATAGGGTTGCTAGGGGTTGGAATTGACTTGATGGCAACAGGGTTGGTTTTGATCACTGATGAGTCAAGTAGTCTTTCTCACATGGACACGCTTGCTACTATTGTTTAATGGCTGTTTGAATTATTAAACATTCAAGACCTCAGACACTACACCACAATTGTGACCAGGCAGTACTGAGTGTTTTTACTTTGGCATAGTGAAGTTCCCCTCTTCAGGGTGAGCTGATCTCTGTCGCCCACAAAGGAGAAACCCGTCTTCTGCAAGGTTTTCCCTAGCTTCCTCATGCTTTAGAGGGAGACACCAGTGAGCCTCAAAAGGGTAAAGGAAAGAGGTGACAGTGTCAGGCACAATGGGTCAGAGGTACAAAGGGCTGACTTATTCTTTCAAACTCTCAAGTAGGGTTTCATTAAGGGCACCACTGACTTAGTTTCCACATACATTATCTTTTTCACGAGCATCACATTAGTTCTCAAGGTCAAAACACGAGTGTTTAACTTCATGCATCATTTAATAATGCCAGTTATGACAAGGACCATGAAAATCATAATTTGAGTGACTAAAATAGATCTAATCTAGACTCCCATTACTGTGGAAACCAACTAAACATATCAGGAAGAGAAAACCCCAATCTCGTCAGAAACATGGAACCATGTGGCTCTCTAGTGAATTTGCTTGATATCTTGTTCTACTTTTCCAGAGCTATTAATCCAGGTGCAACAAGTGGTATTTGGTATAGCACAAATGTCTCCTTGTTGGGTTAATAAAAAATCAATAGCTATTCTGTCATCGAGTAATACTTTGGCAAGAGAATTCAAAGATTTTTGCTGAGCTGCCATCCCATCAACAACATCTTTACTTATTTGTTCCATGATGGCTGAGAGATTTTCAATGGATTTCTCAATTTCAGGGATGCCTACCACAGGCAAGATACCTCAGAGGAAAGC